TGTTACCTTATTTTTAAAATATTTACATGTTTTGTAAAAAGTGCTAGTTGGAGCCTTGTCTAAGTAGAGAGATTAGAGATGGAGAAATTGAGGTTCAGCAGCTTAAATTATTTCTAAAAATTCACACTGCAAGGAAGTGTAAAACTTGTGCTCACTTCAGCAGCACATATACTAAAAAAAGGAAGTGTAAAACTAGATCTCGCACCTCAACGTGAGCACATCAGACTCCCAGGCCTGTGCTCATTTTATCACATTTTTCTGATATAAAATCTGCATGTGGGTCTATCAACTGGCAGCTCCATTATGAGTCTGGATAAAGGACTTAATTTGCTTTAACCAGGACTCGTAGTGATGGCATATGGTGCAGGGGTAAGAAGTCTGTCCCTGCCCCAGTGCCTGCACTTGCCTAAGCAGGCACTTAGTCCGCTGAGCTATCTTGCTGGCCCCTGCCCTTGATCTTTAATGAAATAGGGTTGGAGGTGTAGCTAAGTGGTGCTGAGTTTGCCTTACAAGTGTGAGGCCCTGGGTTCCCCTCCTAGCACTGAAAACAAAAACAAAAACCCAATAACAACAACAAAAACCAAAAACCTCTCTTGAAGTCTCCCTTGCTTCTCCTAGCATTGCACTGTAGTGTGCGGAAGATAACTAAAGACCTCAAAGCATTTTGGCTTAATAGCAGCAGAGGGGGTGCTATGACCAAGAAGGCTATATTAGACTGTATTATTACTGAATCTTTTCTTTTTTTTCCCCACCTTTTTGAGACAGGGTCTCGCTATGAAGTTCAGGCTGCCCTTGAGCTCACTTTGTAGTCCCGACTGGTCTTGAATTCACAACAATCCTGCCTCAGCCTCCTTAATGTTGAAATTACAGGTCTGCACCACCACACCAAGCTGTTACTAAATCTTCTAAAGGTTCTGCAGATAACTGTCTGTAGAAATAGGATAAAACTATTCCCTAAAAGGCTAAAATGGAGAATTCTTGGGAACTCAACAGTAACATTCTCTACTATTCATTTTTATTTTTATATCCTGAATCCAGGCTGAGTTAATTTCCTACACACAAACTAAGGAGAAGAGCTGAGTCATAGTGTCGGCTCTTGATTTCTAAATCTCAGCGGAAGCCACAGCTGATCAACTGTACAACCCATATTTCTTATCCGGCCCTGTGTAAGATCCACATAGCACGCAGATGTCGTGATGACAGCTTCACCAATGGGGAAAAGGAACTGGATTTGGTCATGGTAAGAGAGGAGCAAAACTACGGTCACAAGTAGTAAACCATATAAACTTTGTCAAATTATGAAGAAGTCGACCTAATACAGTAACATAAACAACTTAATACAAAAAAACTAATAAAGGCATGAAAAGACACAGTAATCTTTCAAGGACAGAGTTTAAGAGACTTCTTCAATGGCAAGGAAAATAAAGAAATAAAAGAATAAGTCACAGGAAATGAGATTTTCTTGAGCAAGCAGCCAGGTGAAGGCATTATATAAATGTGAATTCTTATGCCACCTGTTTTAGACATAGTGGAAAGAATGAAAATAATCTACACAGAGTAACAGATTTAAAGTAAGAAAATTTTGCTTCCAGTCCTGGCTCCACACTTAAAAACCAAATGATACTTCTGAAGTAGCCTCTGTTCATTTCCTTCATTTATTTATCTATGAAAGTGGGGTAATTCTGCCCAACTACCTCCCTTCTGGGATTGCTGCGCACATAAATAATAACAAAACAAAATCAGCAAAGAGAAATAGGGGTCTTTGGGATGCTGGAAACGTTATGCAACCTCTAGCTACTTGTCCTAGTTACATTCTGATGTGTTTATTAATTTGAGTAGCAGAAGTTCTAAAGGTGCTGGGAAAGGGGCTGGAAGGTTCTTGGCTCTGGGAGAAACAGAAACAGACGCCATGTCTACTATTCAGGATATTAAAACACGGCTTGGGAAAATGTAAATCAATTCAGTCAAATAAGCCTAAGCCAGAAACGCATGCAAACTGAAGAAGAGGGTATCATTGGGTTGCAGAATTTATCCCCTACTGGACAGAAGAACAAAAAGCAGTCAGGCTCAGCATTCTGTGGTTCAATCCCCAGGTCCTCATGCCTTACCGGACCTGCTCTTAAGGCATCCTGAGCCGGCCAAAAAATAAAAATAAAAAATAAAATTCCTTCAGCCAGAAGAACATCAAGAACCAGCAAGGTGGCTGGAGCAAAGAGAAACAAGATGGGAACAAAATAATGTTTCGACCAGTGTCATCTCCTTCAGTCTGTGATCTGGGGCAAACTTTGTTCTTCTCCTGACTTGTCAGCCATTTAACAGCAAGACAGGTAAAACAATGAGCATAATACCTACCATGTAGGGTCAGCAACTGGAATAAATTAAATTAGCTTAAATAATATCAGGCGATGGCACAGAGCCCGGAACGTGGCCAGTAGCCAGTGAAAGTGACATCTCATTTTCCCAGGTCCTTTCACAGTGTGCATACTTGTTTATTCAGATTTTTCTCATTGGGATAGAAAAATGTTTTGAATACTGCCTGTCTAATAGCCTCCCTGCATCTCCTGGGGCAGCCTAAAAATAGGACTCCATTAAAATATGTATATAAATTCCATCTTTCTCCATCATGTCTGATTATAATATACTTGCACATTCATATTTCATTGAAATGGTTCTGCTGATCTTATAAAGGTGTCCTAGAGGATTTAATATATAAATACTTAGGATGCCTGACACAGACATTGAACCTAAAAGTCTTGAAAATGTGGGAGAACACTCCAAAGAGAAAGTTGACAGGCGTTTTCTCATTTCCTTACTCCTTCAGAGTAACACCACAGAAAAATACTCAATAAAAAATGTCACTTTTTATTTTACTGAATGGAAAAGGATTAATGAATGTATTATGAAGCATGCTTGAACATTATTTCAATGTATGTGTAAAGGGGTGTGTGTGTGTGTGTGTGTGTGTGTGTGTTGCATTCTTTTTCTGCACAAACTTTAGCCTTTTATCTTCTTTTTAAGAGTTGCCTTTCTTGTTCTATTGAAATTCTGTTCATCCAGACAAATCCTATTCCTTCCGGGAATTCCCACATTACAGAGGGGCCCTTCCTCTTCACCTTAACATCAAGTAGTTGACTTTTCTCTGTACATTGTAAAAACTTTCTCTAAACCACGCCGTACCTTTTTATTCAATTTTCATACCTTCTACCTGTTTCCAAGATTTAGCAAAGTATCTGGAATGTAGTTGGTATCTGCACTAATTTTGCTTGAAAACGTGACTGATCAGACCTGGCTTCCCTTTCTTTTCCATTAATTCTCACTTCAAGTTTGCCATATGTGACAATGTGGAACTACTCTAAGAGTTGGGAAGTGGGTCAGATTTGGGTTAGTACTGGAGAAAAGATGATTCTTTTACTTGCCCATTAATCTTCTCCAGACTGTGTTACTATTTTAATTATGTCACAGAAAATTTCACGACAGTCTCAAAGACAATATGTTATAAACATTACACTAGAAAATGATTAATTTGAAATAATACTAAACAGAGCACCTACTTTTTCCAGTACAATTTTAGGGAAGGTTTCAATATTGTCTTATTTCTCCATGGTGACTTAGGAGACACATTGAAGAAAATTCTATATTAAAGGATAAAGGTTTCAGCAGACAGAGCCAAAAGTTGTGACGTTTATTGTATGACTAATTCCTAGAACCCCTTATTCTCCACCCCTTTAATTCATGCAGTCACATTGAATGTTCAAAGTATATAGTGCTGTTTGAAATACTCTGTGTACAGTTAAAATGGCAATTTAAAAGGAAAGTGGAGTAACATTCCCCACCACAGAGAACCTCGAAGGAAACAGAAAGCAAAAACCGAATCTTTCTTTACTTCAGTTTACTTATGCTTTTGCACACACAATTCCACTTAACTGGTCATCACAGCAAAAGCCACAACACACACACACATACACACAGCAGCAGCAGCAGCATGGAGCTAACCACACAACTCAATGGACAATACAGACAAACTGGAGTATAAACCAAGATTTTTCTACCTCTTTTCATAACAGGTTAGTGCTGGCCCTCAGTGTTGGTGTACAGTTTTTATGGCATGGGAAAATAGGGATGTTTCTGCCCTATAAAAATAAATGTGTTGAAGGCTTTAGTTTGTGCTTACACAATGTCAGAAAGTCCCAAAGGCACTGACACAATAACAAAAATAAATAAATAAATGAAAAAAAAATCCCACAAACAAATATATATCACCAAAACACACGGCAAGATAATAAGAAAACTCTGGTAGGAAAACTACTTGTTTCCTAGATGGCTTATACAACAGTTTTCATCACATAATTGAAAAATAAAGAGTAAAACAACATGCTAGTGTGTCTTTGGTAGGACATTTTTTTTGGTCCCCAACCGTTATTCACATAAATTCTTTGGCTTTAAAGTATTTATTAGATCATTTTCTCTCTGCAAAGGTAAAAAGCACAGAACCTTCTTTGTTCTTAAATTTTTAAGTCTAAGGAAGGGTTACGGGTAAGAGCACAGAAATGCATGCATTATCATTAAGAAATGGATACATGGAATAAAAATATAAATAATACTTATTATGCCCTTATTTAATGTATCATTTCTTTCTGATCCTTAGTCTGACACATGTTGTTGTTCATGTGTGACATTTTTACCAACTGTACAGTGGGCCGGGACAGAAAGGTTAGCAGGAAGCATGAAGTCCTGGATTTGAATAAAGGTAATATTTTGGCTTCTTTTTCTTTTTTTTTTTTTTTGCAGTGCTGGGAATTGAGCTACGGGCCTTACACACGCTAAGCAACTGCTCTAGCTCTGAGTGACATCCCTAGACCAAGGACCATGTTTGCTGTTACGTCAAAAAAAAAAAAAAAAAAAAAAAAAAAAAGCTAGGCTAACAATGGGGCTAGAATACTGAAACTGGGAAAATTTCATTCCACTCTATGATTCATAATTCCTCAAAAAATAAAACTTACCATGTTTTGTGCAATTTTCTCAAAAGATGTTCTGCGGTCCACTGAGTTTCCAGACTTATGGGTATGGGTCGGGGCAGGTGAAGGAAACAAGGGAACATTTAAAAAAAAAAAAAAAAAAAAAGGAGCAAGAAAACCAGAGCAGAGAAAGATGGAATAATGAACCAGCGTGACTGTGCCCACATTCCAAGTACAGGGTCTCGTGAAGGTAGGAGAGCTGACAAGGGCGGACTCTTGTCACGAGATTTGGACACTGTCTCCTTTGTGCTTTCATTTTTAACATCCAAAGCTCTTTTTCTGGACAAACAAAATGGTATGATCTCCAGCAAAATCAAATTAAGCAAAAACAAAGTCGACAGGGGAAGCTTCTATGCTGGCCTTGGCAAGGCCTAAATACTGGAAATCGTGTCGCATCTTTAGAATTTCCTCCGAATTTTCTTGTAGGGCTACATTTCTGTTGCTAACACCTCTAATGTGCAGCATTACTATAAATTTTTCTGACAGGTGGAAACTCCATTCAGGCTGTCCACTACTAAAGCCTTTATTTGTGGTGACTGAGCACTTGAAATAGGGCTAGAATTTTATGGATTTTTATAATTAAAAATTACATGTAAAAAGCCTCACATGGCTAGTGGCTGCTTCAGTAGATAGTAGGACCATGGAATACCTACTTCCAGCTTCAAAGGCAATGGATTAAAAAAAATCCTTATTGCCCTAAATGCATGATTTACACAAAACTATAATTTAGCCTCAGAATTTCAAGAAACTATGGATGAAGCTGGACACAGTGATGCTCGCCTACAGTCCCAGCACTGAGGAGGGTGAGGCTGGAGGATCGCCACGAGCCTGAGGTCAGCCTGAGTTACACAGAGCTTTCCAGGCCAGCCTGTATTACAGAGTGAGACCCTGCATCAAAAAAGCAATGAAACAAAACAAAACACCGTTATAGATTATTTTAACAGGAAAAGACAATGAATTATTTTGATGTCTTGGCTACATTTTTCATCTGTTAAAGTGATCACACAAAGAGATATATGGACAGTAAGACTTTAACCTTTGACTATATGAAATCTCAATTACAGTTCTCCAAAAATGTGCCTGGATACAATGCTAGGTGTATAAAATTCATCATCTGTATAGTAAGTAATTTATGATCAAAGCCAAACAAAAATATTCACATGGAAACATTACTACCTCCTGGTAGCTGTTGTTGAAAATCTGGTTCTATTTTCAGTTATGAATATACCATCCAGTTTCTAAATAAAACCTTTAAGGTTTAGACATTTTAAGGTTTTGGCATTGTTCTTTTTGTCTCAGTATTATGTCTTAATTTTTTTAAATCTAAGTATACACAAGATTAACCTGCGATATGAAAAGGACGTAATAAATTTTGTAAAGTATGAACATCTATAGAATGAAACAAAAAGCAAAAATAATATAATAAGCAGCCAACAAACAAAAACAAATGGCTTAAATGGCTTTTCTAAAATAAAATGTATGGGGAGGGTTGAGGTGTATGTTCACTTACCGTTTATTCAACATTCTGGGTCCAGCCTCAGCAATTATTCTACATAATTATAACTGAGAACTAGGTTAAGAAGAAAAAATAAAGGTCACAAAGAACCAATACCTTTTTCTTTGCCTGTAGAAGTTCCTGATAGGCACTGGATCTTATAAAACGTGGGTATGAATCACTTTTCATCAATTTGTAAATATGCTCCTAAAAAGAAATCATGGTTGAGATGCTTTGTTATTGCTTCTCAGGAAAAATAAAATACGATGAAAGAACAGATCAATAGCAACTAAAAATAACTACGCTGCCGCTGCTGCTGAAAGCATCTTATGTTCACAGGATGGTTAAATCTTCCAATTCGTTATTTCATTTATGGATCAATGTTTAAACTGGTTTGGGAGTTACTGAAGAGAAAAGCCACATCTACTCAATTGAAAAAATGGAATTTGGTTTATTGGGACATTATGAAATAGTTTTAAATCAAGTTGTTGGTTTAGGTAGAACATTGGAGATTATAAATAAATCTGCTCTTTGAAAATGACTCTCAGCCAAAATAATGGCACGAAGTGGAGCCTGCGCAATCATGCTGGATACCTGTGGCCTCCGCACTTGCTGGAAGGCCAAGACGGCCCAGACAAATCACTCTTTTAGTACAAACTACATGGAAAATTGTCATCCACATCTACCTTGGGACAGAGCTCATTCTGAAAATACATTTGTGATATTTAATTGCGAAACCTGAATTTGTATTTGTATATTTTCTTTTAAAAATTATACAATGAACTGGTCCTGGCGGTACACTACAGTAACCCCAGCACTCAAGAGGTTGAGGCAGGAGAATTGTCAGGAGTTCAAGGCCAGCCTGCACTACAGAGTGAGACCCTGGCTCAAAAAAAAAAAAAAAAAAAAATCAAATAGATTATATAACTATTAAGCCTAATGATTATATAATATTAAGCCTATATTACATAAATATTAAGCCTAATATTAACTCCTAATGAGTCTGCAAAGTTCTATTTACTTATGTAGGCAGTACTGGGGATGCTACCCAGGGCCTCAAGCTTGCTGGACAAGCATTTTACCACTGAGCTACACTTCAGGCCCTGTTCTATTTTAATGAGGAATATTTGTTGAGAAAGAAGTTAAACAAAGAAAAAAGTGTATTCACTGGGTTCGGTTTTGGTCTTGGGAGATTCTGTATGGCTGACTGCAGTGCCGGGCTACTTAAATTTTCCTTGGCCTCTCTGGTCCACTGAAGTAACAGTTAAACATAGTCACCAATATTTGTGGGTACCTTAGATGTCATAATCATTTCTTGTTTGGATAAAAGATGTATTTTAACAAACAGTTCCATTTGTTTTAAACACACCAGGAGAAATCTGAAGTTAACTAGAATCCAGTCAATGTCATTCAAACTTAAGCCTTAAGATGTAGTCCAAAGTTGAGCTTTAAGAATATGTTTAAACTTAGTTCTGCATCACAATTTATTTGAAAAGTGAAACTATTTGGTTTTGAAGTTAAACATTTTGGGATTCTGATCCTATGTTGCTCAAGATCTACTACTTACAAACAGTTTACGTTCAGATCAACTTGTTCATTCATCTGATTCTCAATTTTCTAACATAGAAATAGCATTGTGAAAATTAAAGAAATGTTAAATAGAGTAGTTTGGGGTATGTTTACTATGTACTTTTGTGCACTTGATTATGTAGAGGGATACTCCTAGGTGCTGACCTACCTTAGTTAATTTAGACCTTACAAAACCCCAAAGAGATTACCAGATATTATTATATTTGAAGAAACTGAGGCATGGAGAACTGACGTACTTGTAAGATGTCATAAGCAGACTCAAATCAGAAGACAAGCAATTACTTACTGAACCTGAGTTCTAAACTTTACACTGTGTCTTTTCTCAAACAACATCAAACATTGCTGATATTCTCTCTTTGAAGACAGGATAAAAGTATCCACAAAAACTGGAGTTAAATAACTGAGTTTAATGGAAAAAAAGTCCAGGTTGAAAGTCAGGTAGTAATGTTTTATGTATGAAAACATTCTTTTTTATTTTATCGAGGAGTCTGTTAAACTAGAATATTTTTTAGTGTCATGGATAGTAAAGTAATGCTTTGATAAAAACTTCAAGGAGGGGTATCCAAACATTTTCCATACTGTAGACTATTAGAAAAAGGCTTGACATGTTTATCTTGAATTAAAAGAAAGATACATAAGAAGAGAAATGAGCAACAGGGCCTGAACTTTCATCTGCTTTCTGTCATGTGTCTTTGTAAAATGCAATTATTTCTCCATACAAGACCACAGCTTAAGTACAGGGAAAGGCTGGCTGTCTGGTTAGCTGTTATAACCTGTGTTAATTTTCTACATAGTGGCTCATTATTCTAAGGCAAAGCCAAGGAGAAATGTGTTTCCCACCAAGAATGAAAATAGGAATGCCATTTATGCGTATCAGTCTTTTCCATCTATATTTTATGTCTAGAAACGGTGTTATTAAAAATACTTTCAGGACTAATACTCTTCCCTCAAAGTTTAAAATATTTTGAAAGATGCATGTCCACATTTCAAAGTCAACTTCAGCATGTCATTAGGAAATAATAACCCCCTCCTTACAATTTCTATTTTTCTACATAGCACTGATATTTCTCTCAAAAAATAAACTAATTATTTCGATAGAAGTAATTGAGGTTTTGCTTGAGAAAAAACCCTGAAAATTGGTCTTAAAAATTAAAATGTATTTCCTTTATTATTTCCATAGATTTAAAAACTTAAAAAATTAACACATTTGTGAATTTATCTTTCAGCTGAGAAAGAACATGATTTGAGTTTGACTGAATTTAAGTCTTATGAAAGTTATGAAAATTTAGTTATGAAAATTCATGATAACGCATAATTTAGGAAAGTCAGAATCTTAGAATCTACACATAGAAGATGCACAAATGCATAACACTGATGCCTTTGTTAGTGTTTGCCCAAATACTGCATGCCAAATATAGGAGAAAATAAAGTAGAAGATTTCAAATATTTAAATATATGTCCTTCGCAAAACCTCATGAAAAAAATATTTAAATCTATGAAATCTCTAAAATCTTTAGAAATCTATTCACTTGAAGTGTCTTCATTTTTGTTGCTAGATAATTAAGTTATATACAGTTGCTATGCAAACTGAAAATACTACAAAACATTTGCTAACTACAAATGAAAATAAAATTGAAGTTTCAGAGTCGCCCATATCTCAGGAATCCTTCGGTGTTGTGTGCCTACCTGAGCATCTTCAAATGTGTATCGTCCGGGTTCCTTTACGTTGTGTGTTGTTTTGTCATAACTCTTAGAATCCAAGTTAATGGCACTGGGGGCCCCTGGAGCCAGAAATTCTTGCCATATTTCCTGAACTCGCGAGGGCACCTCTCGAATGGGTCTTTTCTTCAGGTCTTCCACCGCAAGCCAGAACCTGTACAAAATGTGACCTACAGTAATTACCCTGAAGGGTCAGGATCTGAAAACTTTTAGGATAATTCCCGACCATATTTTCATTATCACTCACAAAAGCAAAGCCACTTCTTCCTGAGTGCTTGCAGTATCAGGTCTGTACTAACTTTCCCCGGAATAGCTGTATTCAAAGATAAAATAATTCTTGAGAAAGGAATATTGAAAACCATCTCTTTTAAGTGGTTGTTATTCAAAACAGATCTGCCACAGCCCTGATACTATGCAATGTTAATTTTATGGAAGTAAAGTAGTGCTGTTAGAAAATGACTTATTTGGAAGAGGAATAAAAGGGGAATTCAGAGTGTGAGCACAGAGTCTCTAATAGGGGGAGAAAGTAGTGTAGTATAAGGTATTCTTTGGGTATTTTGTCAATTTGAGCAATGAAGATGGGTATGGAGAAGAATTTCTACTCTCCTTGAGGAGGAGACTACCAAGAGGCTTTCCTGGGGATAAAAAAAAAATGCCTGGAAACAAAATCAAAAAATAGGGTCAGCCTGATAGTTCAGTGGATTAAAGTGCCTGCTTAGGTAGAGCACAGTGGCCAGGGTACAATCCCCAATGTGCTGTGCCAGGCCTGCCTCTGGGGCGCACATTGATGGCAATTAAGACTGGGCATGGTGGCGTGTGCCTATAATTCCAGCACTTGGGAGGCTGACAATAAGAGGATTACTATGAGTTCGGGCTACATAATCGGACTCTGTAACCCTGTCCTTAAATACAGGGAGAAAAATGCCCTACCAGAAAAAAGCAGGTCAATTAGCTAATTTTGTATTAATTGAAAGAGTCAGAGAATGAGAAAAGCAGCAATTTTTTTTTTTTTTTTTTTTTTGCAAGCAATTATTTGAAAGACTTAAATATGCAGAGGTATAGCAGCACTTCCTAACTGGGGGAAAATACATGCTGACTTCTGCACATTGCTGTGAATAACCCACCAAGTATGCCTGCTTGCTTCGATCTGGTCCTACTCGCCACTTTCTGCATTGTTATGAAAGTCCCCTTTCTGAGTGTCTTTATGAGGTCCAAGCAAAACTGCAGTGAATGCTATTGTGGGTACCAGCCAACACAAAGGCTGGCTTGTGCACACCGCACACCCACCCCCCCCCCACTCCTGGACCTGGCGCTGTGGGATTTCTGGCTCTCCCCCAAGTAAAAAAGACCAGGAGTGGCGAATGTTTTGAATTCATTCACAGCTTGGAGGCAGTCATCACTGCCCAGTGAATGACACTCAAGTGGCAGGACTTCAGAACTGCTTCAGAAAGTGGCAAGAATAATGGGGTAAGTGTGTTTAAAGCAAGGGGAAGCCTTTGAGGGGGACAGTGGCACTGTGTCTTTTGCTATAATAAATTAAAAAAAAAAACATTTAGTGTGGTTTTTGATCATACTGCATACACTAAGAAGGTGCTGCATCTGGTATAAATTTAAATAATGAGCTTATGTTTTTTTCGCTGGCTCTCAATTTTATCATTTAGGATAGATCTAGAAATAACATTGAAAAGATAGATGTAGATATTTTAATAATTTGTAATGGAAAAAAATGCCTGATAAAGGAACTATGACTGTCCTCCCTGGATAGGATCGTAAGTCAGGTAAGTGCTGTTGCCAAGTGCCACACGAAAGAACCACTGGTAACAACCCACGCTGGGTCCTAGCTGACCTTATTTACCAGACCTGCCATGCATAACTTTTGGCTCTTCCCCAAAGCTAAAATGACTGTGAAAGGTAAATATTTTGGCTCAGTTCAAGAGACGAAGGCAGCCATGCAGAAGCAAACCGTGCACACTCTGCTGTCTTCGTTCCAATCACTTTCCTCTTCTGTTTCTTCCCCCCTCATCTTCCCCTTCTTATCACCAGCTCTCAGCCTACAGGTCATTTTTCCTAGCACAGCTTCACTGCCTGCTACACTACGTCAGGCACCCCTCTGTGCTTCTACCTAACCATTCATCATGTCGCGTTGTGACTTCTTTCTTGTCGGCATTTGCTGCTAGGCTATAACTAACCCAAGAGCAGAAGCCACATTTTTATCTGGCTACATGATCCTGCTAAGGCTCATCACTTGTTTACTTCTTCATCATGATTTTCATGGTATCAGGATCTTCACAAAAATTTTGAGAATGAGAGGAAAATCCACCCCCTCATTCACTAAAATGCCAGAAATATCAGATATCAGCTTAATTTGTACACATTTTTTCATTTCACTAATAATGATGTAACTTAAGTATGGAAAATGTTAATCTGTAGGCCCAATGATTTTTTTTAGCTACCATAGGTCTTGCAAAGGTGTTCCTCAAGTATTTCTATACACTTTTCATTTTTTTTTGTTTGTTTTTTGGCAGAACTGGGGATTGAACTCGGGTCCCTGCGCTTGCCAGGCAAGCACTTATCCACTGAGCTATCTCCCTGGCCCTATAAACTTTTCTTAATTTGATTAATTTTATTGGTACAATTTAGATATACATAATGATGACACTCATCATACTTATTCATGGTATCAGAATCTTTACAGAGATTTAGAGAATGAGGAAAAAATTTAAATAATTCATCATAGGGAATTTGTACCTGTATATGATATATTTTGATTTCTCTTTTTTCCCCAATCCCCTCCCCTCCCTTCAACTCTTCTTCCCCTCCTTATTTACAAAGCTTTGTTTCCATTCTATCATTTTATTTTTCCTTAATGTATTTGGTACAGGGTCCCACTATACAGCTTGGACTCGTAGTGATCCTCCTGTTTTCAGCCTCCCCAGTGCTAGGATTACAGGCATGTACCACCATGCCCAGACTTGGTCACTGGTTCAGCATGCACCCAGAGGTGGGGCCAGCATGTCTGGGGATCAAACCCCAATTCCTGTGCTTGCCTAAGCAGGCACTTAGTCCACTGAGCCATCTCACCGGCCCTCTATTTTATCATTTTTATTTTTATTCTTTTTTCTTTTCCCTTCCTTCCTTTTCAGAGTCCCCCTCCATAATTTCACTTTCCCTTTGAACAACTGCTTCCTATTTAACAATGTATATATTTTGTTCCTTATTTACCCTCTCAGATTCTCACACCAGGAAGACAATGCAATATTTATACATATGTATCTGATTTATTTCACAAAAGAGTATGTTACGGTTTGTGTCCAATTGTTCCCCCAAAGCCTTATGTAGTCACTGGGACAGGCTTCTAGTTTGTGATGAATTCATGATCCATGAGGGGATTATGGGTATAAGTGGGAAATCTGCATACAATAGAAGGAAGAGAGGCTTGCTAGCTGCCGCACCCACTGCTCCTTTCCTTTGCTCTTCCTTCGCTCACCTTAACTGCTGCCCTCTGCCATGTGCCACTCTGCGTTGGAGCCAGATGAGTATGAAAAGAAACCTCCACTAACTGTGTGCTAAATAAACCTTTCCTTCCCTAATTTTAGGTGCTGGGTATTTTATCCCAGCAATAAGAGAGAAGTAATGGGACAGAGTATGATCTCAAGGTACATCTATTCACCTAGAAATGTCTCAAGTTTATCTGGAGCATCCAGTACAAAAACAACAAACTCACAAAGAGAAAAATAAGGGAAATTATATTTTTCACAAGAGCATAAAAGAAAAAAAGAAATACTTAGGAATCAATCCAACAAAGTAAAAGATACATTGAAAAATACAGATCTCCTCTAAAACAGGGATCAAAGAGGATATCAGAAAATAGAAAAATATCCCTTACTCAGAGTTAGGAAGAAGCAATGTAGTCCAAATGGCCATACTCCCAAATTAGAACACAAATTTAATGCAATTCCAATCAAAATACCACCAGCATACCTTACAAAATTACAGAAAACAGTACTAAAACTTATTTGGAACCAGATGAAACCAAGAATAGCAAAAACAGTTCTCAGTAACAAAGGCAAGGCAGGGAGCATCATAATCCCTGACTTGAAATTATACTGTGAAGCTACTGTGATAAAAATAGCATGGTACTAGTGGGGGCAAATCCCCCCCCGCCAAAAAAAAAAAACAACCAAAAACAAACTAGACCTGAGGATCAATGGAACAGATTAATTAATTAATTCATTTATTTGTTGTATTTAGTACAGTGATTCTCCTGTTTTCAGCCTCCCAAGTGCTGGGATTACAGGTGTGTGCCACCATGTCCAGTCTCAATCGCTACCTCAGAGTGCCCCAGGGGTGGGGCCCGCATAGTAGGCAGGGGCTCGAAATCCTGGCCCCTGCATCTGCTAAGCCTAAGCAGGTGCTTTAATCTGCTAAGCTATGTGGCTGGCCCAGTGGAATAGATTAGAAGATGCAGACACAACTCCAAACACACTCAGCCACCTTCTGTTTCACAAAGAGACCAAACACATTCACTTGAAGAAAGAGAGCCTCACTAATGAATGGTGCTGGAAAAACTAGCTTCCCACATGCCAAAGACTAAACCTGGATCCATGTTTATCATCATGTACTAAAGTAAAATCAAAATGGACCAAAGATCTAAATATTAAAACAGAAGCACTAAATTTGTTGGAAGAAAGAACAGACCTCTTGAAGATACAGATGTATGCAAATATTTCATGAACAAATGAATTTAGCTTCCTCCATTTTTTTTTTCTCATTGCAGTAATGTTTGTGGCTATCTTGCCTCTTCCTTGAGATATGTGTCAACTTTCTGCACACTTCTGAATTATTTGTTGTTGGTATCTGTGAAATCTCCTGAAAAGAACATGATAATGCCTGGTGCTACTTAGTTCTAATGAAAACAAATGAATGCTGAGACCTTTTCATAAGTGAATTTCACAGGACTCTGTCAGTCAAGGAAAGGTAAAAATAGAACATCAGATTTCAAAAGAATAATGAATGAAAGAGCTGATGGAAAAACAGTTTCATGTAGGGAAAAGGTATCACTCACTCAGGTGATCTTTATAGATCACATTTAATAGAGCTATTAAAATCCACTCCTGTGTATTATTACATTACTGAAATGCTGTTTCCAGATGCACCTTAAGTTAGAAAATTCCAAAAATATATCAGGATGTTTATAACAGATGGAAGAAGTAGTGTCTTGGTCTCATTAACAGCTCAGTACGGCACTGCTTCCAAATGTCCTGTGGCTATATTTAAAATTGCAAAGTAAATGAGGGGCCCTCAGAGTTTTGTCTAAAGATATCTGATTGAGGTATCCACTCTTTTCTTTAACTTACTTGCAAACAGACAAAACTTAATAAATAGGTGATAGTTTAATTTAACTGTATAAATACAACTGGCCATTCTCCAGCTTGACAAATATTGTTCTAAGAATCATGCTTTTTTATGGAGTCCTTTTAAAAAGTATGAAAATGGTACATTTTTAAAAAGCCCAGAGGCAATTTGAAATAAAATATTATAAATAATTGGTAATGTTGAACAACATTTTCTTGGTTATCTCCAACTCTTTGGTTAAGTGGTAGAAACTTAATAGGTTCATAATATCAGGATACTGGTAGAAGACAAATGACTCTGCTCAATCTAAAATACCTAGACACATCCTATCGTGTCTTTGGCTTATAGCATAAGAACAGAACATTATGTCTTACCTTAGATTTTCTGAGCTGAATTCTGACTCTAGAAATTTAAGGAACTGTTCTCTCCCAACTGGGTCTTTCAAGGCCTCATCCATGCCAAAACCCCATCGTTTTACCCTCTGTTGGCTTGGTTCTTTGCTTTGGGATATAAAACAAAGCCAATTCCTTTCAGTACAATTTTTATTTTTTAACTACAGTTCTCTTCAAAATCACGCATACCTTAAAGTTTTCATCTTTAACTTATCTTTCAGAAAAAATATGCCACTGATTGTTTTTTATGAAATCATAATAATGTATATGTTAAATTAATAATATTTTATTAAATAAATCATTATAATAGATGATTATTTATTTGATAAACATTTATTGATTTATACATACATTGATCATTAGATGCCAAGTAGTATAGATAAAATACCTTTTAGGGTGTTTTTAGTAACTTGGAGAGGTACATACTATTATTTTCATTGTAGAGATGAGAAAACTGAGGCACAAAAACAATTATAATTTTCCAATGTCAGATAAATAATAAGGGGCAAAGACTCAGACATTCTGACCCACAGCCTCATTTTTTTCTTTGCAGTACCAGAATCGAACTCAGGAGCTTGCACTTGGCAGGCAGGTGCTTATGCTGCTGAGCTATTTCCCCGGCAAACGTCATTACCTGACCACTAGTCACCTTACTGTCATGGTGGTATGTTGTACTGGGGAAAATGCACTGCTAATAGTAAGGCCTCAAAGCTTAATTTATGACTGCTGTGATTAATGTGACCTAATCCTCACTCATCAGTGACATTTTGGAGATCTAGCTGCCTTATCTGTAAAAATGTATAATTTGTGGCTAAAGAGTCTTGGGCTCATCAAGTGCTGCAGATCCATGGCTGACAGTCCATAAATGTAATTTAGAGAGGTTCTACAGAGTACTGAGCCTTTGTTTATACAGACATGAATTTTGTGTGCTTCCTTCAACATTGTTGCTATGGGGTCGGTGGGATAGCTCAACCGTCTAAAATGCCTGCTTAGGCAAGTTTAGGTAAGCATGCAGGGATCACGGTTGATCCCAGCACCACATGCCTCACAGCCCCACCCCTAGGGGGCGCTGAGTGGCCACAAAAAATATTGTTTCTAAGATGCTTCTCAGTAGCTCATGAAGAAATTAGGAGTCCTACATTATAAATTGGTGTTCTTAAGTCAGTTTCTTGTCAGGTTCTCATAGTGTTTATGGTAAATTCAGTTAGTTTAGACATGCTTGTATTGGGCTTAAGTAACTATAGATTTAGCCTTCATTTTATGTGAAAATATAGACATTTGTGGCTGTGGGTTTTCAAAGATGCTAACAGCAATGAACTGAATTTCAAGGATTGAAGATTTGAACATTAATACATCTTGAAACTTGTACTATCAGTGGCCTTTGGTCACCATCATTTTACTCTCGACTTCTATGAAATCAAATTTTTCTGTTAGATTTCTCATATGAGTGACTGGTTATTCCAATTGAATGGTGAGCTCTCGTTCCATCATTGTTGTTATAAATGGGAGAATTCCACCTTTTTATGTTTGAATGGTATTCTATCAGCAATACAAATATTAATACAAAAGCAAATGATTGACATTTCAAAAATCATTATCTTGCAAAGAATATTATGTCATGGGACAATTTAGATAAAAGAGTAAAATCATTTTTACAATTTATTCTCTATAGAATTTTTCCTAGTATATTCTGTGAAATAAATGAATTTGGGAGGAAAAGAAAATGTCACTCACCTTGCTTCAAGTTCCCAGAAAGTAGTATCATCAGACAGCCATGGGTTGGAAGGATCAGGTGGCACAAGAAATGGGTCATATTCTACATACTGTTCTGTATAACTTAGCAGACTATGGAGAAAAAAAAAAACCCAACACATTTCTATCTTTTTAGTTTTCTGGCTGAAGATATGCCAGTCCAAAGTAATGGAAACAATAAAAAAAAAATGTCTGGCTAAAGAATCACTCATTTATAGAATAAAACACAATGGAAAAATTTCATGTTTCAGTGACATACATAGAACAACTTATTGCGCTTTTGGCAGACAGATGTGGTTAAGTATCTCTTCACTCCATGCAAGGCACAAGTAGGCCACACAGCAGGCCCTATGGCAGGCTGCTAAGGGTCAATTTTTGTCCTTGGCAAATAGGTTCTTCACTTACAGGAGAACTTATTTTAATTAACATGGAGAAAGAATTAAAAAGGATTTTTTTTTTGGTCAGAAGTATTTATGGGAATTAAATAAAAGAGGAATTACTGATAATTTTTTTTTTTCTTAAAAAAATTCTTAAACAAAAGTTAAAAGAAAATGTGGGGGGAGAGGTAGGATTTGGTATTGCCTCAAACTGAAAAATATGAATACCATTAAGAACATTTAAACGAAGAAAAGGTAAATCTAAAAATCTAAACTTAATTGAAATGCTAAAGGTATTCAATAACAGAGTAGATTGCAAATGTTTAAACAAATACACAGATATTCTCTGAGTTGCCAAAACAGAGCTGGCATATTAAGTTTCACGTCTCCCACCAAGAGTGAAAGAACTTAACTCCTTGGGGTCACTGTCTGCATCTTAGTTTTGGTTGCACAAAGATTTCACCTCTAGGGAATTAAAACCATAATGATTATGCTGCTCTGAAACTATAACAAAAGAGCATTTTGAATGATTTCAGAGTTAAGGAGCAAAATGACATACTTCTAGTGCTATAATTTTATTTACCTCAATTTCCTCCTCTCCCAACAGTTCTCTTACTATTTTTTAAATAAATTTCTGTTATGACAAATGTAAAATTTATAATGGCATCTTGAATACTTACCTGTCAGCAACCTTTGACATTTTTAACCGATGTCTATCTAACTGTATTTGCCAATATTTTATCTGAAAAGATTACAGAAGCAGTTATGTAAGGAAAGCATCACAATTTCTATCTCTAAGTTCTTATTAAAATCTATTTGAATATAACATAACTAGTGTATTTATATAATAGTAATGAGTGTGACCGATGTGCTTGCTTAACAAAATATACTTTATTTGAAAAGTGTCCTGAACACTTTTAATAAAATTTTAAACATTTTATTATCATGAATAATCAGATGCAGATTTACATTTCCTTACAAATACTTATTTCAAAAATAAATGTATTTGTATTTGCTTCTATAATTTTAAAATAAATCCTACCTCCTGGTATAATTCCCATCAATGACTTGTGTTTAGATAGCATTTTGCCAACTCATGAAATAGGTAGGCTCACATGCACATAAACAGATACTGAAAAGTTTAACAACTTTCTGAATTACTTTTCTTTCAGGGCAAATGTAAATATGGCACAAAAGTACATGTTATGTTCTTAACAAACCACAGTACAATAAAATGTTAGGAGAAAAAAGTCAAAGGAAAGAAAAGCTCAATGATTAAAACAATAAAAAGATATAACTGTTTTTTCTATGAGCTATCAGTGCTTATTTTGAAATATTTCTTAGAGCCAAAGTATTGATCAATGATTTATTTGTGTGTGTGTGTGTGTGTGTGTGTGTGTGTGTGTGTGTGTGTGTGGCTAGCTCAGCCCACCAGGGGGCGGGGCTGGCTGGTGGTCAATGATTTAGAAAAATGATTTTTGAAAAAGCAAAAGAGGCAATGGTGTTGATAGGGACAAACTCCAAAAGATTTGAAGAAATCATTTCTGTGGTAACAAGCATAAGCACTTTTGAGCTAATCATAGCACATCATTAGATATGAGAAACGCTGCCACCATGGGCTCAACCTCTTATCTTCTCATGGGCAACAATTAACTGAGAATATTCTACCTGAGACAGCTGACCACACAAGTCACCTTTCAAAATACCCACTATTTACATTCACTATCTGGTCTTCATAGCAGTTACTCTGCACATCTATTATGGATCATTTTACAGTTTTACCCACCTGTTGGTGTAGCTCCTCTTCTGTAGGAGGTTTAGTTTCTGGTGTGGGTGTGTGGGTAGGACTGTGACTCCTAATGTCATTTTGTAAACCATAGACAGACTATATTAAAATAAAACAATATATTAGGTTGAAGTTACCACTGGAAGTGACAGACTTTCTAATTACATACTTTTCCAGGAACTCAAAGCTTATTTGGTGAAGCTTTGTACCAAAATGCAAAAGGCAATGCTATAGTAAATATCATATGCATGTCTAAAACAGAAGCACAGCTCTTTCAAAATGTGTGTGAGATTATACACTTGAACAGGATAATTAATTACATGTAAAAATATGCTGAGAACACTAAGTGGGGATGACAAGGTTAAGCCACATTTACTAATTATTGATTTCAACATAAAACAGAGGTGGATACAAAGTAGCATAGGAATGTATCCAACAGAAAATAAACAGAAATTGATTATCATACAAAACTGTGCAGGAGCACTTCCCAGAAGTGGGTTAAGAATTCTGACTTGGTTTCTGCTGGTATGGACAAAGGCAGCCCAGAGCGTTCTGATTTTCTCTTTTCAACCCTGAGCTGTCTGCAGTACTAGCCTTGCCGCTGGGTACATCTGCAAACATAGGTGGCTCCAAAGGCTTCCCATGGCTTTGGGATTCTTAATGCGTGCATTAGTGCTTATTAATTTGCCCCAAAGACGAAACCCACTATTTAGGACGACTCTATTTAGAGAAAGACCCATGGTTTCATAACTATAAAGAAGGACCTGGAGGCTGAAGAGCTGAAGAGAGACAAATATCAGGTCAGGTGAGCAGAGAAGCCAACTTACTTTTTCTTTAGTATCAAATTATTTTTATTTTTATAAAACAACAAAGTATTTACTGCATATGATTGAGAGCTTTTTCTTTGGACATGAGGGCAAAAGGCAAGAGCATAATAAACATGCGGGCACCAGGCAAACTGAAGAGGTGCCAGGTACAGTGTGCAAGGGAACTGGTAAAACAAGACCAGAGGGGATGCAGGCAATTAATGGGCCCCATTCCTGGCTCATCACTCCCTCTAAGTTCAAAGTTCCAATGGGCTTGGCTCCTCCTCTACTTTCTCTAGGTCCTCATGTGCTGATCATTGCACTTTGTTTCTGTACCTGAATCCTTTGGACTGGATTTTTCTCCTTTTGGGTTTCCTCTTTACGCTGCTCTTCATGCTTTTTAAAAGATTTCAATTTGCATTTAACTATTTGGATCACTGAGTCTAGCCTTTCTTTCTTTCTTTTTTTTTTTTTTTTTTGGCAGAACCAGGGATTGAACTGAGGCCCTTGTGCTTGTCAGGGAAGCACTTATTCCACTGAGCTATCTCCCAGGCCCCTAGACTATCTTGCTTGAGATCCTTTAATCCTTCCTCCTGTCCTGTCTCTAACACATTAGAACCCAATGCCTGTCACCTGCCACCATTCCTTACCACAAAGGACACCTCCTTCTCATTCCCTATTCACAGGGTTGTACTAAGTGAGTTGGCCTTGCTTCATTCATTCATTCATTCATTCATCACTTTGCTTTTAGTCTTGCTACATACTGGAAACCCTACTAAACATTAAGGATATAGAAACAATTAAATATGCTTTTTTTTTCTCCATTGGAATTTACAACCCAGTGGAAAGGAAACCACAATGACACAAATACAAGGTAGGAATCAAACATAAAATGAATGTTTAAATTTTTAAAAATTGTTACAGTGCAGTCCCAGCCCAGGCGCAGCGTGGGCCAGACCCTCTC